CTGATATTAATATTCAAAAAATAACCCCAAATTTTCCATTCCCAGAAGCCAAAAAGTAGATGAGAATAAACATGCACACCAATCAGCCACAAGGTTAAAACAAGTGACAAAGTGTGTAACATTGATTATCTGCTCGTTCTGGCATTAATGTGGATGTTCCCCTGACATATCACCACTTAAACATTGTTGCAGACGATGCAAACCTCCCTAATAGTAACTATTACTACTCACTGATGGCAGTGGTCTCCCCCCAACAGACATTGTGCACGGCCCTACGGCTCAAGGAACACAACAAAGAGCCCAAAACATTGACCAAACTCTGCAGGCCTCAGTCTGATCGAGCATCTATGGAGGCCCCGCCCCACAAACCACCAGACCCAAAAGATCTGCAGCCAATGTGACGCCAGACTGCACAAGACACCACCAGAAGTCCCGTGACAGCATTAGGCAGACAGCCTTATTGTTGTGGCTTATCTGCTGATCAGTTTAATTAGAGGCACGATTCTTTATTTGGTGCATTTTCTGCTGTGCACTCTCACAGTTTCACAGAAAACTGCAGATGATATCTGCTATTGAGTGAATGTTTGACAGTGAAAATGGAGTGTTATGATCAAGTATCTGATTACTTTTCAATTGAAATATTTTTATGTGGCTGTTGCCTTCACATGCTCTTACATGATTCCAGACAGCGAGATGTTAGTATGGTTTGTTGCTTATTTAGAAAAATAAATGCATAATTTCTTTTGTTTTGTTTTTTAAATCAGCGTTTTGTTTCACAAGTTTACTTCAAAATCAAATACATGGAACGGAGTTATGAGCCCTGATGCATTTTGATGCTCTCTGCTTCTGCACTCTAATGATTATAGACATCTAATATTATGGCTGAGTCCATGCACATATGTAGAGTGGGAAAGAAACAAGTGACAGGCAGTGAGACAATGTGGATTATAGACTGGGCGATGCTGTAGCTGGGGACAAATGTGTCGGATAAACACAGATTTATTAAGGGTTTTAGATTAGAATAATATATCATTTATGTAGATGAAACAGCATAGAAGACAGTTATGGTGATAAAGAATGGAAAGATGCCATGCTAAATGAGGAAGAAAACATTACTGTTGTGGTGTTTTCACTGCAGCAAATCCAGGTAATAGTTGTAGTAAACTGCCTGAATGTAAATAAAAACTAGATAAATTCTATACTTGTCTACATTACAAATAGCTTATGTAACGTCACTACCACACGACTCCAGACTGCTATATTTGTCCATCTGTTTTCTTTTTTAGCACATGTGTGTGTTTGGTTCAGGTTTCTCTGCAGCACGTGCATATGTACATTAGTATTCCCACAGTCCGCCTGCAAGCATCCCGTGCAAGTAACAGCTGCCAGGGCTGGGATTGGTCAAAATGTAGCCCTGCCACCTGATTCTAATGCATGCTACCAAATGCTTGTTGCATGAGGTGGATTCCTATGAACAGCAACAATCCAGTCAAACCATCTTCATTGGAGCTGCTGTGGCTCAGTTTGCACCTTTTTTTTCACTCCAGGAATAACCGTGCAGCTACATTTGTGTGCATAGAGTCAGATCACAAGTGCAGATTACAGTCCGACTCATTCATCATGCCTCAGGCTTTCTCACACGTGCCACTGCTGAAATTCTGCCAACATCCAGGTAGTAGACTGGATTCACTGACAAAACCTATTGATCCTCAGGTGCCTTTATCTCCTGATATGCTTGTACTTTACATATAAAGGAGTCTGTCTGTTCCACAGTCAAGGGCAATGGAAGGTGAGGAGATTGGCATTCAGATGGGTTTTATAGCCCACCGGTTCTGCTGATGCAGGTTGTTCAGTGTGAGGTGAAGCGTATTATCTGACGTGGATGGATGGATGGAAGAGGGAGGCTGGACAAAGACTCACATGGAGGAGCACATGTCCTTTCCAGCCTTTGTTGTTACGAGGGCCAACCGCAAGATGAAAGGAGTCATGCACTGTAAATACCTGAGTGGCAAAATCTTGTGAGGTTGCCCATCTCTGAAGAGTCACATTATTCTTTCAAAATAAAGATCAAAAGTGTTCTTTTAAGAGGTGTGCTCTCACACGTACTTTATGAGGACTCACCTCCCATTTGGGGAAATAGATCTGGTCCCTTCAAGGGTATCCTTATTTTAGAGGCCTTTGGTTGAAGTGTATGTGGATGTATTTTGGTTTTTGTGTACATGTTTGAGCTGCAGGCACCAGAGTTTGTTTGGTTATGGTCATGCTGTTCTAGTGAAGTTAATAGACAGTATTTATGGCAAACACACATTTCTATATTAGATTTCAATTGCAACAGTAATGAAATAATTTGCTCAAAAACATAAGATTTATGTGCACAGTGACAGTAACATGCACTTCTCTAACTGTCCACTAGAGAGCTCCAGAAATACATGTTTATGTGAAGAGCTGTTACTCCCTTCAGAACTGCAAATAAAGACGAAACCTTAGATATGATTGTTTTACATTTCGTATAACATTTAAAATGTTACTGTCTGCTATTTGACTTGTGTGATTTTCGCTGGACGACTTTTCATTTCAAAATAATTGCTTGTCATGAAGTATTCATCACAATATCAGTCAGAAAGCTCTTTCATGGTTGTTTCATTTTGCCTCAAGAATGAAGAAATGAACCTTGTTAGTAATTATTCAGAAAATTCTATAGCTCTTTTTTTTTTTTTTTTGGCAAAGCTACATTTTGGTTGACAGTGTTTTGGTACTTCCAAAACGCATGTGCAATGTTTTCTTACAGAATGATGACAAACATCATTTAACCCTTTTCTTTGGGGTCAGTTTGACCCCATTCAGTGTTTAACATCTCTGAATAAGTAATTGACATCATTTTTTTCAGTTTTATTTAAAGGGCTATTCACACATAAACTTGGGTAACAATTTTATTTCTGATATTTTTTGGAGGTTTAAATTGATGGGGTCAAACTGAACCCAAGGATAAAAGATCTCAGTAAATTTGAAAGTTAATCTGTTAAATACAAATGCACTCTTCACATGGCACCTGATTCTCACTTCTCTTACTGAAAGCGCAAATAGTGTGACAAGACGAAACAAAAGCTGAAGTGAAACCAGTCAAATGTGTCGTCACACTGTGCCATCCGGTGATAAAAGTCACAGTTTGTTAAAAAAAACAACTGTTCTTCTTCTCCTCACACCTTACCCAGTTAACAGACATAACGATCCCTTTTATTTTCTTTGGCTCTGTTTGAAGACTTTACATGGAACAAACAGTCCGGCTTGGAACAGCTGTTCTGTGTGACACTCTGTTTATAGAGGCCATATGCTGATTTTAATGAAGTACCACAACAGCAGAGCACACATGTACCTGTAAAGTAAACTGTCAGTGGCAGAGAGGACAGTAAAAACATTGAAATAATAGCAGTGAGCTACCATAGAGATTTGTTAACCTTTAAGTTAATTGAAATACTGATATATGAGCGGTGGCTGCATGCCAGTTTTTGTCAGGTAGCCCTGCAATATATGTATATATGCCTGTCTTACCTGCACTGTGTATATTTCATGTTGCTGCAGCTGTGAGTTTGCCTCATGCAATATCAGCTGACCTCTCTGTAACTATTTCATGTTATGTGGCCTTAAACACTGAGATTGTAAATGCAATACGAAAAATAAAGCTGTTGATATTCTGTATTAATATTATTAGATCTTGTGACCAGTCCAAAACTAACAATGAATGGATTCTTCTAACAAATATAAGAGTCTTTCATTCTTCATCTTTTGTGACATAAATTAACCGTCTTGTCCAAACACTGCTGAGCACACATAAGCCTCTCTGTGATGTATATCACTGCCAGGAACATGACTGTTGTGGTTTACTTTGAGTAAGTTGCACATTGTCTCGCTGAAAGCTCGGTACGGAAATCTAACTATTAATCTACCGAAAGCAGCTACCAACCATTGTATTGACTTTTCTCCAACTGAAGTCCAGCTGTCGAGAACTACCGAGCCTTTTAGAAAATCAAGATAAAGATGGCTGTCAAATTAAAGGAAAAACCTGAACTTCTGACCCCCCAGTGAGGAGATCTGGTGGCTCTGGTATGCTGTTAAGGGTATTTTGTTGATACGATTTGGCCACTGCAAGTTAGTATAAAGCTCTTCAGAGTCATTATCTTTATCCTATAATGAAATATGCCTACTCTGATAAGAATGTAGTCTCTTCCAGGTGACACTGTGTCCATCAAGGGATTGCTGACTGCCTTGGACTGACATGTTTGGCACTCTGTCATCATAATACCAAGTGAGGGGAAATTGTTTGGAGGAATGATGTTTCATATCTTCAGGATAGTTCCACAGATGCACGATGCTAAGGTGCACTAAAGCTATGCTGGCAGCATGTGGAGCCCCATCACCTTACTGGGAGATAGGTTTTTCCTTTAATTTGTCCCTGTCTGTGTAATTCCTCCATTTTTAAACCTGCAACAATAGATTCTTTTTGGTCATTTGGTGGTTGGGTAAGCAAATGAATCCCATGATTAAATGTAATCTGGCAACATGGTAGTTAATAGTTGCTTATTTGCACATGCAGCAATTATGGAGCAACATCAACATTAATTTGGCGTCATGTCTCCGGGCACCTAATAAGTGCAAGTTTCTTTTTTTGGTCTCTATTAACTCTGCTCACTGTGCACCAGGATTAAGTGTTATTTTTCAACAAAGGGTATTTTTATGTATCTTCAACATACATGTGAGCTTTTTAAATATTGATGCTTTCATTAGCAACAGATCGTTTTGGGGCAGAGAACAACCGGCAAAGTATCACAAAACAACAAAACTAATGCACTGTTGGTGTCTGTCAATGCATAAATGACAACAACAACAACAACAACAATAATAATAATGTAAAACACCAGCAGCTTTATTCTAGCATAGCTGACATTTTTTCTGACAACCGTCTCACCACTGAAACAGTGTCTCTAATTGTATTCTTAACTTGTTTAAGTTGTTACACCATCACCTGTGCTTCTCTTCTTTCTCTGAAAGAAGAGGACAACCTGATTGATATTCGCCCTCCCTGTTCTAGTCATGAAACAGTAAAGGAGTGGATCTAGAAGGCAATTGAGGCTTGAGACAGCAGTACTGATCTTGTATAGATAGAAAATCCATGCAAAACTCTTGCAGTCATTCATCAGTGTACGGAGAAGCATCATGATGTGGATAGGTCCAAAACAAAACACAAGGCAGACCAGAACTACAGTCAAAAGTTTTGTAATCCGTTTGCATTCCTCCTTCTGTGTGGCCTGGTTGGATTTCACCGCCACACATATCCCCCAGGTGGAAAAAAACACCAGGAGAACCGGAATAACAAACCCCAAGAAGAAGCGCGCTACATTAGCATGAACCTGGTGCTTTGACAGCGGGAGGAAGACGTCGAAGCACACTGCAAATGTATTGTTTTCATGGTACGAGTCTTCCAAAGTGACGGTGGTGGCGTTGAAACAGGCCACTAACACCCAAATGGCAACACAGATCCCTGCAGCGGTGGCAACTTTCCTCAGACACGTGTACTTCAATGGGTGAACCACTGCCAGGTAGCGATCAACAGCGATGCAGCAGAGGAGAGCCACGCTGGTGTAGAAGTTGGTGAAGAGAATGTAGACGGACAGCACACAAACTAAGCCTCCGAATGTCCAAACTCCTCGCCACAGGAAGTCCATCCACAGAGAAAGGCCAATAGTGAAGGTCAGGTCACTCAGCGCCAGGCTGAACATGTAGACACCAAGTTCGTTCTTCTGTCTAATGTGCTGCCAGGATACATAGAGGAAGAAGGCATTGGACGGGATGGCAGTTATGATGACAGCCCCGTAGAAGATGAAAAATGGCCTTCGCCTCGATGTGTTGTCGGCTGAGTAACATTCTGAATCGTTGGTGGCCAGGGTTAAGTTTTCCATTGCTGATGCAGGGTTCATACCTTGCAATAAAACACAAGAAAGGATTTAAGGAAGACAACCACACATATGACTATTTACACCAGGGGCGTCCAATCCTGGTCCTCGAGGGCCACAGTCCTGCATGTTTTAGATGTGTCCCTCTTCCAACAACACACCTGATTCAAATGATCAGGATCGTTATCAGGCTTCTGCAGAGCTTGATGATGAGCTGATCATTTGAATCAGGTGTGTTGGAAAAGGGAAGCATCTAAAACATGCAGGACTGTGGCCCTCGAGGACCAGGATTGGACACCCCTGATTTAAACCTATACATTTAGTTCGACCCTCAGAGCAAGTAGCTTTCAAGAGTTTTTGTGATGCTTTCGAAAGCTGCAGATGTCATCAAGGCTACTTGGAGACTACATCTTATAAATGACAACTTTTTGTTACGGTGGCAAAAAAAAAAGGGAATTTACCAGTCAGAGAGAATCTAATGAAAGATGCAAGGACAGCATGTTTTGGTGACTTGAGAATAAATGTCAGGATATGTTGGCTTCTGCTGCCTTAATTTTGCCAATTAACATCAACCACTGGACTGTGTGAGCTCCCCGCTTTATGGAATTAAATTAAAGAATTAATTAGATTAAAATTAAATTGCTGGAATGTCCCTTTAAAACACCATCAACACTGCTTTAAAACTTATGTTGGTGGCTCTGAACATATCAGCTATTGCACTTTTCCTGAAAACTGAACACAACAAGGAAGACAAAACACACTCCGTTAGCAAATACCTTATCACATGACTACAATTTAACAAAACCAATTGTCAACAGAATGCATATTGTGATGGAATTATCTGTTGTGGGTAAATTTCAAGACTAAGGATCTAAGCTGTACACCACTAATAATGAAATACCTTTATATTGTCCTTCAAATCTTTAGCCACAGCCAAAAACCTGCATAAACAAATATTTCAAAAAGAAAAATCAGAAACTCCTTTCAAGAAAAGTTGTACTTACTCTTTATTCAGTTGTATTTCCAAACTCTGTCAATGAAATTCATGGTTGATTAAAGAAAATCAAAAAAGAGTTGATTCATTTTGTTGCCTTTTCCTTCTGCTGCTACCATCAGTTTGCTTAAAGGAACAGGAAAGGTCAGCAGCTGCCTCTTGGTTGTCCCTGACGACCGTATTTGATTTACTGGGTGACAGGCCATGACAGAACAAACTAGCAGTGTTAGAGGAGCACGAGGCAGACTTAATTAGAGCACAAAGTCTAAATGAGACTGTGGGATTTTATGGTTGGTGTGGCAACATATACATGGGTTAAGGTAGAGGAGATGCTGATAACTGTATGATGAAGGAATACATACTGTTCATTAAATGTCTCTATAGAATAGTTAGGATGTTTTGGCTGGCTGAGCCTTTGTGCCATTATAGGATGGGTTTGCATATTTGTCTTAAAAAAAACATCCTTATGTATAGTGAAAGTGCTAATGGCTGTTATACATCTCTTTTTTCTTTTCTTTCTTCTTTTTTTTTTTAGATTGAATATAAGTAACAGGTGGGGTGATTCCACAGTCCTCTCTCTGCGCAAAAGTAAATGGGAAAATTAGCAGTGACTCAGTGTGAGTATTACATTAGAAACTGAAAAATGTGAACCTATCTTAGAATGAAATAATGCACCAGAAAACTCGGAAACCCAATTAAAACTAAACCATTTACACCACCAACCAGTGCACATGGCAAAAATAACAGAGCTAGTTTTTCCAATAAATTATTGACATGAACAGTTAAAAAAAGAAAAGAAAAGAAAAAGAAAGACACCAGTATACTGTATAAGCTCTTCTTTAATTGCACAGTTCCTGACAATAATGTGTTTTACACTGGATTTGCAATTTGGCTCTGGCTTAAAAACAAGCAAAATAAACAGCTAAGCTGTTAGAAACCTGACTGATCTCCTCTGGAGCTTTTTGACCATTTCTTCCTCAAAAACCTCCCCTCCCTTTCTCCATGGCTTTCCTAATCTCTTTCTTGGCTCTATTACTAATTGAAGAGTATGTTATAGGATCCGATGTGGCATTTATTCTGGTGATGGCAGCTGTGACCAGGTATGGACTCCAGAGCCTCGTGGTCCTGATGCAGTCCCAGGGCAGCATGGCAGTCTGGAGTAGGACACTATATAGGGTACAATGAACCACAGCAGCAGGATGGATTGTATCTGCTAGGACAAAAAGTCATGTTGAAGACAGGAGACAAAGAAAAACAACAACTACCTGTAAAAGAGTGGCATTGGCATCTTCTTGTGTCATGGATATTCATTGTATCTTGAAGCTTGCGTTGCCCCCATGTGGTCTGGTTGACGAGGTGCACTGTAACGCTGTTCCCATTCTTCATCAGCATAAAGGCTACATAGAGGCCTGGATGTGTGTGTGAATGGGAAGTTCTCTCTTGTGGGAAGCTGAGATAAGCTTAAAAAAAATGAGCTGGCTATTTGTGCTCAGTATTAAAACGTCTGGTGCTTTTAATTGTGGACGCCATTTCATTTCCACAGTGTTGAAATTCAACACAGGTTCAAGCGAAAGTCTTGACTCTGGACAAAAAAATGAATTAAAAAAATTTATGAGACGGTAAAATCAAATCAAATCAAATCAGGTTTATTGTCATGTTGCTGTACATACACAGTAGTACAGGCAGGATGAGAGAGTTTCTTCAGGATCATTTAAGTTTTGCAGAATGAACGTCTGGGATAGACAAGACACTGAACGTTCACCCTCACTGTCTCCTGAAGGGGGCGCTGCATCCATGTGCACCACCATCACGTTGAACATAGCGAACTTCTTCAGGTCCTGGTAGGTCTTCAGGGACACAGAGACACACATGATGGTGTGACGATGGTGAAGCTGCAGATGCTGCCCAGAGCTGCTGTCTGTCTGTCTGTCTGTCTGTCTGTCTGCATCCCCTCCAGCTGTCTGTCCGTCTGGGATGCTGTCATGGAGCCATGTTCCTGTTAAAGCAGACACTCAGCAGTCCCTCCACTCTCTGAGGGTTCTCTCCACTCTCTGTGGGTTTCTCTCAGCAAACGTAGCTCGTCCAGCTTGTTGTGGAGGGAGCGGACATTGGAGAGCAGGAGCAACGGTCCTGCTGGTGTGGAGGGGTTAGCCTTTAGCCTAGCATGGATCCCGGCTCTCTCCCTCTCTTTTGTTAATGTTCATACCATTTGCGCTTCCTTCTCTCTCAGGTAACTGCTGCTGTAGTCTCTGATAGGACTCCGGGTTGGCACAGCACGTCCAAATCACAACCGATCGCCGCAATTTCAGCGGTTAAAGTCTTGATGATCAAGTTTTCATCCTACTGGACCGGACAGCATGACATGAGTACCTTAAAGATTCAGTATCACACTCCTGTAATGTTGTGGGACTCATGATGGACGGCTTATTGAAGCATCAAAATGAATGCAGCAGAAATACACCACACGACTGCAGAAGTATGGAAAGTTCATCTGACTTGGAATGATAGGTAGACTGCGCAAAACATCAAATTGTACAAGCACACAAATGTCTGCACAATGTGTAAACTGACTCTCCAATGTTGAGATTTTTAAAAAGTATTTAAAGTTTGCTTGAGTTGCAATGTCAAACACAAAGGTGAGAAATATTACATGGTTTTAAAACATGGGAGGATTTGTTTTTGAATATTACAAGCAGGAAAGATAAAAGGAATATCACAATAAATAAATATACAATACAGAGAAAGAGATGAAAATATATATCTACAGACATGCACACACATACAGGCGTGGAACATCCGACCACTGACTTGTTGTATTCAGAGCGCAAAGTCACAAAGTCTGCATGTCTTCATTGAAAGATTACTTTGTCTTACATTAGTCCATAACTTCTGTAATGTAAAAGATATGTGGTAATCCTATTTGATGTACAAGAGTAAATAGAATAACATTTAGGGTCTGAGTGGCAGATTTTGATAAGTGCACCACAAGTGGCATGAAAGTCCACAGCATGTCCTGAGATAAAGCCACATTCAATCACTTCCTTTGAAAATGGCCACACCCTTCATTTCGAGCAATCTTTTGAAGTTAGACACAAGAGAGCAATAAAATGTGGCTTTAATCAATCAAACTTATGCTTCAGTCGACTTTTGTGTGAACATGAAAAATGATGGGTTCTATGCTGTTTCATCGTTTAAAAACATGCACTCTAATTCAAAATTCAAAATTCATCACGTTTATTGCAGATCAGCTCGCAGCATCTTAAGCTTTAAAACTTCTTGAAAGGTTTGTGCTCATCTGCCTAAATAATTCCTTAACTTTAGTCTGGAAGTTTTTTCCTACAATGAGATAGAGAATGGGGTTGAGAATACTGTTGAATATGGCCAGAAGGCTGAAGATGAACTGGCAAAAATACAGATTACGGAAAACGTGGCACCCATTCAGAATGTTAGCTCTACTGAGCAGCTCTAGTATGCTAACCACATACAAAGGCACCCAGCAGATCAGAAACACACAGAAGACCACCAGGACCAGAACGGTGGCCTTGTGCTCCTTTTTCTGAGCATTCAACGGCTTCTTTAGCCGCTTTCTTAGAGCATGAATAATTTTGAGGGTGCAACAGGAAACAAAAAATATAGGGAGCATGAAAATGAATACATGGATCCCTTCATACACCAGAAGCATAGTTTGACTTGGAAAATTAAGGTCACATGTGCTAAAATTTCTCCTAGTGTCATGTATAACATCCGTATACATGAGCATGGGGACATTCAGGAGAACGCATACACCCCACACCACTACACAGGCCAGTCTGGCATAAAATGGCCTCCGCATTCTTTCAGTAGTCAGAGGGTGCACCAGTGCCATGTATCGGTCAATGCTAACTAGAGCCAGCATGTTGATGCTGCTGTTGGCATTCATGGAGAGGAAAAAGGAGATCAGTTTACACAGGGCTTTACTAAGGTACAGGTTAAATTTTTTTGTTGAGATCATAGTAAAAATGGGAAAAACAGATATCAGACAGAGGTCGGCGACAGCCAGGTTGCTCAAGTAGATCTCAGCCATGGTGCAGGCCTTCTTTTGGAGGCACAACACCATCAACACAAACAAGTTCAAGGTAATTCCCAGCGCAGTGATGAACAGGATGTACGCTGGAATCATAGTGTAGTGCCAACTGCTTAGATCGTAATGACACCCGCTGTCTTCCATGTTGTTTTGGTTTCCATCCATAGAGTCATGGCTGAAGTTTGCAGGCATGCTGTGAGGAAACAAAGGAAGGCAAACCAGACATATCATTATACTAACATCTATTTGACACCTACATCAAAACTGATCTTACCATTTTGTTCTATTGATGATGAGAATACTGAGAAATACTGAATTCTGAGTCACACCGAATACTGTGAAACACAATAGAGTATTGTTAAGTACAAATTCAAAGCTGTCTGCTGTGATATATTTAATTGTGACAAGCTGAGCAGCATATTGCAAAACATCATGCTGGTTTTTCCTGTTGGCTTTCTGACGCATGTATGAAGAACCAAAAACGTCAAGCAAACTTTGGACTCAGTATGACTCAGCTTCTCAAAGAACTTGACTTGGTAACTCTTCAAATACAGCAGCTGAGGTTCAACACATTGGTAAGCTTTTGTTGCAACTTTCAGCATTTTATTTATTTCACATTTGATGAGGGGCTGCAAGGTGGCTCGGTGGTTAGCACCATCGCCTTGCAGTTAGAAGATCCCCATTCACATCCCTGTTAGGACACCCGGGATCTTTCTGCGTGGTGTTTGCATGTTCTCCCCGTGCAGCGTGGGTTCTCTCCGGGTTCTCCGGCTTCCTCCCACACAGTCCAAACACATGTTGAGGTTAATTGGTGATTCTAAATTGTCCGTAGGTGTGAATGTGAGTGTGCTTGGTTGTCTGTCTGTAGTGTAGCCCTGTGATAGACTGGTGACCTGTCCAGGGTGTCGGCTGGGACAGGCTCCAGCCCCCCGCGACCCCACTGAGGATGAAGCGGTGTATAGATGATGGACATGATGATTATTATATGACTACATTCTGAATATTATATGATTAAATACTGGTGTTGCAAGACAATAAAAACCACATGCCAATAACTGTTTGCACAACCAAACTGTAAAAAAAAACAATAGTTTAAAAGAGTATGTTTTTGTATATTGAATGCAGTTTCTTGAATTATATTTTTGCATTTAAAGTGAAAAAAGACAAGACAAAACAAAACAAAACAAAACAAAAAACCTAAACTGGGCTTGTCCAAGTTGTTTAATATAGAGATGTCTGCTGTTGCAAATAAACTCCACTCAAGTTTTCATTGCTTGTGCAAACAATGAACAATTGTGTAATCATATAGACTGATGTTTCCTCACATAGATTGCGGTATAATAACAAAACAAACAAACAAAAAGAAAGATATGTCAGTAACATAAGTGAGTGTGGTTTGTCTGACAGTGACTGGTAACAGGTACAGTTCTTTTGGATGCATTACTAATTGCCAATCTTTGTCATGTAAAGTCCCCACAGATTGAACAGACTAAAACAATTTTCCCCAAGTGAATCCTAAAATTAATTACCTTGTTGTAATAAAGAAATAAATGTATAATTAATGTTAGCTGAACTGTTTTCAGTGGAACAGCTGTGGTTTCTTGCTATTTGCTTAGTTGGTAACGGAAGTTGAAGTGCAAGCATTAAAAGAAAAGGCTAGCCTTGCTTGTTGTTCAGTAGGTAGTTACTGTATTTTTTTTTAACATTGTGAGGACCTCTCTGCTTTCACACGACCAACCAACACAAACAAGGGGGATTACAAGTCAACAAGAGGGATGCATTTTGGTCATTTTACTAACAAGGAGGATGCTATCCCCCGTGTGTTACCTTAAATAACCTACTGCTGCCTTCAGCCTGACTGTAGCTGCAGAGGTCATGACATTAAGCAGCGTTCTGCTTCACCACAACATCCACACTGGTGTTTATATGTCATTATCTTTCCTTAGACCTTGTTGTGTTGCATTTATCAATCAGACATGTAGACTTTATTATTTTGAATACTGAATACTTTTTTTTTTCAGTGTCTCAGATTTTGGTGTACTTGGTCTCAAAATAGTAAGAGGTTGTTAATCCATATGTGCGTCTCAATTGTGTGCAAACAAAATCTCCTGAGAATACTCGGTTTCCAAACCTGCTCATTTGTTATGTCATCAGAAAACGTTTTTTTCTTTTAGGATTAGCTGTTGTTTCTTGTATATACTTTCATAATGCGTTTGCATATTTTTGTTCATGGTCAATGTAAAACATGAACTATTTCTGCTGAACAATGGTGAACATTTACAGAGAATGATGGAAAATCATGCACAAATCAAATCAAACATATGCATACCTTGTTGGCAAAAGAGTCATCCTTTCTGGTGAAGAAAGAAACGGCAAACTTCCAGTTACACTTTTCAAGATCCGTCACCTTCTGTGCTCCATTTGTATCTGAGCTGCTCACTCTAAAGAGATCATGAAAAGTAAACTGATAATAAAGTGATGTCAGCCAATGTCTTTGACTCATTCCCTCTATTGCCACCCCTTCCTCTCTCCATTCTGTCCCTCCTGTTTCTTCTGTTTTGTAGTAGCGTTGTGTATCTGGGTGGGCAGTACTCAGAGGAGTGCATATTTCCCACATTTAAATGTTCCAGATCATCTAAATAACATTTACATTCATTTAATATTAGACAGTGAAAAGCCACAAAGCACAAAATGCAGTTTTTGAATGCTGATTTATTTAAAACCTTTATCACCCCTGTCAAAAAGTAATTGCCCCAATAAACTTAACAACCGTTTGGTCCATCCCTGTATAGCTCATTTGCATTTGAGCTTTAGGTCATGAACTGATGAGCGAGCATTTCTGTTGTGTGACTGGATATGCAGCGTTTTCCTTTTGCACTGCGTTTCTGTTTAAGCAACGCATTCATGTGTTGCATTATTTTGGCACTTCATAGTTTTAGGATAAGTCAGCGATGAGGGAACTTGCGTATTTTAGGAAACAGTAATATACGATAAAACAGCTCCTGATGGTTTTAGTGGTAATCGTTTTCAATTTGGGACAGTCTAATGCGAAGTAGAGGCAGGACAGCTGCTGCAACTTGAAACCTCGTCCGCACAACTTCCTCTCAGTCTGGTAGTTCAACAATTAGTATGTATCTGAATCCAGAGGAAGTCACTGTAATGTCAAATGAGAATGGTGAGGTGGGCTTCTGGGTCGTCTGGCACAGTCCAGGAGAAATTAATCTGGGCTGCTTACACACTGAAACAAACTAATTCACACAAATGAAATAACTTGTAAAAACGTAAAACTTCTTCACATGTGTTTTATTCAAAGAAAGCTCAGAGGAGTGGCTCTTCTGGATGAACATAAATCAGACACAGTGTTTGTGACTTTTCCTCTGTAAAGTTTTCTTTTTCAAGAATTGTCCAGGGAGCCAAAGGCAGAGCAAACTAGGAAACTGGGATGGTCATAACAAAACAAAGTCTCGCTGTAATTAACTGTGTTTGTTCATGTTATTTGATTTAAATAATAGGCCCCTTGGAAATTACCACATGGCAAACAGTTGCTATACGTTACACATGGCAGTGCTGTCAAACCAAGATGCAGAGTGCATTTAAAAGAACTTTTCTCCTTTTTATTGCTATTTAACATTGAATCGTGGTCAGTTTTACAAAGTAATAGGAATTTATTTATATCTGCCACTCCAGAACATTCACTGTGTTGCCTTTAAACCATTTCTGTGTAACTTTTGGCAGGATGCTTCGGATTATTATTCATTATTGTTTTGTAGGATGGCAGATCTCCTTTCAAGTTGCAGTTCTCTTCTGATTGCATGAGGTTGTCCTCCAGGACTTCATTCATTTTACCCTCTATCTTTACAAACGTTCCTGGGCCTACTGCAGAGAGGCATCCCCACATCATGAGTTTGCCACCACCATGCTTCACGGTGGAGATGTGCACTGTTTGGTGTCTGCCAAACATAGTGTGCAGTCTGATGATCAATAAGCACATTTTTGGTCTCATTAGCCCAAAGAACCGTTTTCCAGTTGGCTTTAGAGTATTTTAAATTTCTTCTGGCCAAGGTCGGGATGTAATATGAACTACTCTCAGTGGCTTTCTCTCCTATGAAGCTTTGACTGAACAGGCAGCAGCTGTTTTACATACAGTAGCTCCCATCTCACTCTGAAACTTGCAACTTCTTCACAGGAGTCATGAGTGTCTTGGTGGTCTCCTTCACGAGTGTCTTTCTTGCTTTATTTTCCTCAGTTTTTTAGGATAACTTGGGCTCAGCAGATGTGTGAATGTGACATATTCTGTCAATCTCCTATTTATGTATTTAACTGTACTCTAAGGGCTATTCAGTGACTTACAGTTGAAACCAGAAGCACATTAAACGTGACTAAACTTCCTGTTTTCAGTCAGTTAGGATTACCAAATTTATTTGTATTTGCTAAATGCCAGAACAATGAGAAAAAGATTTTTTTTTTGATTTTTTTTTTTTTAATACTTTCTTCAAAGTCAGAAGTTCACATGCACAAAGCTTACTATACCTCAGAACTATTTGGGAAAGCCCAGATGTTGATGTCATGGTTTTGGAAGCTTTTGATAGGTTTACTGACAACATGTGAGTTAAATGGAGGCACACCTGTGGATGTATTTTAAGGAACACCTCAAACACACTGCTTCCTTTTGTGACAACATGGGAAAATCTAAAGAAACCAGCCAAGATATCAGGAAGAGATTTGTGGAGCTCCACAGGTCTGGTTCATCTTTGGGTACAACTTCCAGACGCCTGAAGGTTCCACGTTCATCTGTTCAAACAACTACACGCAAGTATAACCACCATGGGGATGTCCATCCATCATAGCGCTCAGGAAGGAGACGGGTTCTGTGTCCCAGAGATGAAGTGTTTTGGTACGAAATGTGTGTGTCAATCCCGGAACAAAAGCAAAAGGCGCTCATAACAGAAGCTGGTGGGACGCCCCTATAGCTCACCTAGCAACCCATGAACAGGGGCTATAGTTATATATGCAGCAGTCGTGGGTCCGACTCCCACTCACAACCCTTTGCTGCAGGTCTCTCCCCATACTTCTCCTCCCTTTCCTGTCTATCTCCACTGCTCTAACCTTTGTAAAGTGGATTTAATACATCAGTGCTGGACATGTGGTGTTGCCTCCACCGTTGC